GGGCCTCAGCCCGCCCGGGCGCCCCCTGGGCCGCCGCGACGACGCGGCCCTCGGCCCGGGCCTGGCGTCCTCGGCCACCCTCGTGTCGCTGTCGTCAGTGTCCGACTGCAACTCCACGCGTTCGCTGCTGCGCTCCGACAGCGACGAGGCCGCGCCGGCCGCGCCCTCCCCGCCGCCCTCCCCACCCGCGCCGTCCCCATCGCCGTCACCGTCGCCCAGCACCAACCCTCTGGTGGACCTGGAGCTGGAGAGCTTCAAGAAGGACCCCCGCCAGTCGCTCACGCCCACCCATGTCACGGCTGCGCGCGCTGTGAGCCGTGGGCACCGGCGGACGCCGTCAGACGGGGCGCTGGGGCAGCTGGGGCCACCCGAGCCCGCAGGCCACGGCCCTGGTGAGTGAGGTCCCCACACCCAGCAAACAGAAGACAGCCCTTCCCCCTACCCCTACCCCTTGTCACGGTCCTGCTTAGCATGGGGGAGGGAGGGTCTGCTTCCCAGGCCCTTCACTCCTGGAGGCATCACTGTGGGTGACTGAGACACAGGATGAAGCAGGAGTGGCAAACTCTGAAGCCTTCAGGGCCAGGCAGGTGACTTTAACAAGAGCAACAACGACTATAGCTAACTCCTAACACAGGACCGGTGCTAGGCACTGTTCTCTGTACGTTCAGTAACAACCACAAAGATGCTCATCATGGGTAGGAGTTATTCAGTACCCACTATCAAGCACCATGCTACTTGTTTAACGCTTGTTATTTTATTTCCTCTTCACCTAAGTAGTGAGGTGCTGTTTTTATCCCCATTCAGAGATAATGCCATGCCTAAGGTCTCCGGGTAGATCTGTCTGCATGAACCCAGCCCGAAGTAGGAAAGTCAGGAGAGACAAGGGCTTTGGCTAGAGGGGCTACTAAGAACCTGGCTCCAAAAAGGTTAAGGGATATGCTTGCCCACATGAATGAACGATTGTAAGTGGTCAGGACCTAGGCCAAGGTCCAAGCATCGCTGGGCTGCAGATGGCTATAGCCTTGCTGGAAAGTGGGCCTGGCAAGATCCACGGGTTTTTCAAGAGTAGTTAGAAATTCCACTTTTTGGTGTAAAAGCTGGCTTTTAAACATCACCCGTGCCCCACCCCACTCATTCATCTGCTCCTCTCTTACCAGGCCCTCGAGACCACCTGGACTTCCCCTGTCTGCCCGACCCCCAGGCCCTGTTCCCACCCCGCCGCCGGCCCCCCGAGTTCCCAGGCCGCCCCACCACCCTGACCTTTGCCCCAAGACCCCGACCAGCTGCCAGCCGCCCCCGCCTGGACCCCTGGAAACTGGTCTCCTTTGGCCGGACGCTAAGCATCTCACCTCCCAGCAGGCCAGACACTCTGGAGAGCCCTGGGTCGGCCAGCATGCAGCCAACACTGCTCGATATTGACATGGAGGGGCAGAGCCAAGACAACACAGTGCCCCTGTGCGGGGCCCAAGGCACCCACTGAGGCCTGCCCACACCACCCGCCTGGGCAGCCATGAATGTAGCGCCCCAGGCCCCACCCCAGCCCACCATGCCACAAGGTGGGGAGGCCCTGGGCAGGATACTCACTCTATTTATTGGGGAAGGGGGGAGGGAGGGACACTTAACTTATTCGTTTGTACCCAAAGGTGTGGAGCCCTGTGCCCACCCTGCAGTGGAGGGGGGAGGGACGGTGGGCAGGGATACTCAGGGACAGGGCATCATGGGAGATTTGGCACAAAATGCAGCATTAAAGGTAACCCCTGCCCCCTACTGCACTTGGCTTTGTGTCTTTCCCCTGCCCACGCCCTGATAATGGGTCATCCCTAGTGGAACACTCCCCCACTCCACACTCCCTCCCTGGGCCTCTCTGGGTTTCTAAGGTCCAAGGGATGCGGCCCCTCCTCGGTTCCCACAAGAACACCACACAAAGAGGCTATGGTCACCAGTGACAAGTGTTTTACCAGCGAACACATGAGGCAGGGATGGGGGGTGGGGGTTACATGGGGAGGTCAGATGGAGTGGGAGTAGAGACAGTCCCCCTGGGTGGGCCTCAGCCAGTCACATCCCGAGCTTGGGCCCTGGCCCCACTGTCTTCCCGCTGGAGGCTGCAACGGTTCATCTTTAGCTGAGTCAGCTGGATGTAGCGGAGGACATTGGTGTCTGCAGGGGAGGTGGGCAGAGCGTTATCTGGTGCAGGTGACACCTGCACCGCCTCAGGTCACGCCCATTGTGCCCATTCTCCACTGGCTCCGCCGCCCAGCCCCAGTCACAATGCACAGAAAGGAGACAGTTCACACTCCGTGTATCACTTCTGCTGCGCCCTCTGCCAGGACTGCCTCTTCACAGAGGCTCCTGTGCACTTCTGCTTCTCCTCCAATGACGTCTGCAAGAAGTCTGTTCTCTCCAAACCCCTTGACAGGAAAACTGATCTTGCCTCTTTGCGCCCACAACTCTGCATCATGCACCTGTTGTGATCCCTCTTCCCTCCTTTTGGCTCTTAATATAAAACTGAATGTTGCGTCTGTTGCCCTGTGCACGTGCGCCCCACCCCCACCCCCCATGATCTCCCAAAGGGCAAGGAACAAGCCTCCAGCTCTGCCAACCCTCCCCCCACACACACCCCAATTTCCTGGTGTTGCCCACCTCGCGTGGAGGAGTGGATTGAAGAAGTGACTGAATAGGTGAGGGTGTGAGTGGGTTAGTGAGAGTGGAAGGATGAGTGTGTGCGGGGGGAGATGGAGATGGCGATGAGTGAGTGGACAGGGAAGCAGCTGAGGAGATGAACGGGAGGTATCGGGATGGGTCAATGACTGAATAGATGAGAAGTGGTTGGTAAACGTCAGATGAATGGTGGGTGAGTGGAAGAGTGGGTGCGTAAGGAGTAGGTGGATGGAGAGAGGAAAGTCCGGTCGGTGGCGCAGCGCTCCGTTGAGGCAGTTGTGCTGGGCGAGGGCTCTGCTTCTCTGCCCCGATCCCCCTGCCCTTGTTCCCTGCACGCCAGCACCTTTCCCTGCCCTGGGCCCAGCTCTCGCCTTTGCCGCGCCTTGCCCCTCACCTGTGGGCTCCCGGCTGCGGGCCTCCTGCAGGTAGCGCAGCGCGCGTGCATAGTCACCCAGGTGGTAGAAGGCAATGCCGGCGCGGTAGGTTGCCTTGAAGTTGCCCTGCTGCTTCTCCAGCACCTTTAGACAGTACTCGCGCACGCGCTCATAGTTCACCAGTTCCGACTGCAGCAGGCAAGCTGCGGGGGCACCGGAACCGGTACTTTCAGTGCCTGGCGGCACCCCAGCACCCACCTGACCTCGAGTGCCTGACCTCCGGTACAGGGAACCCGACCTAAGGGGTTGCTCAGGCCACCAGGGGACGCTTTTTGTTAGCTTATTAGAATAGCCTCAATCTGCGCCGCCGCTAGAGGGCGCCAAAGACACAGACAAGGTGATTAGAAGGGAGATTTCCGTGGGCAAGAGACGGGGTCGGGGAACGGCTCCTCCAGGGTAGGCCTTTCTCACCCTGGGTTCGTGTATGGTAAGAGGAAAGAATTACTCCGGGGAAGCAAGACCCTGAAGACCCAGCCCAAAGCCCATTTCCTGCATCCCAGATCCCTCCATGCAGAGAACCCTGCGATCCCCCATCCCAGATCCCTTTCCTTGATCAAGGTCTGAGGTTTCCTTCGACATCCCACAGCCCTGGACCCTTCAGTCTCCAGCCCCCTCCCACCAAGTCCCCAAGGCCTCACAATTGCCCCCTACTCCCCTCCTCTCTCACACGCCCCTCTGCGCCTTCCGACGGCCCCGTACCCGTGAGCGAGTCGTAACATTCCACCTCCGTGTTCTCCACCAGGCGCCGCTGCTCCTCGCTCAGGCGGGCCGGTGCGGGACTCGCGGCGGGCCCGGGGGCGGGGGCGGGCAGGCCGCCGGGGCGGGCTCCCTGCGCCGCCTT